AATTAAAAAATTTCATTGGAAATGAAAAATCGAGTGTCACTTGTCAAGTGCTATATCTAGTTTTGAAGATAAACGTCCTTCCAAATTACCGACAGCACAGGAGTTTGAAAGTAATTATTGTAATTCTTTTTCAGCGATGTGAATGACAAATGCTGGAGAAAAGGACTAGACGTAGATCGTAGAAAAGCAGAAGGAAAGTTATTCATTTGTTACAATTGTAATTACATTACACAAAGCAAGCGTAATTTAAGGAACCATATTGCTCGTAATTGTGATTTGAGACCTAACGTAAAAGAACACAGTTGTGATCAATGTAACAGGATATTTAAGTGTAGTCGCAGCTTAACTAATCATAAAATCAGAATGCACGCGGAATTAATCTCATCACTTTCTTGTCGAATATACGAGTGTCAATTTTGCGATTACAAAAACGCTTCGAAATTTGCTTTAGAAAAACACCTCCTGGTTCATTCTGATAGTAGACTCGTTACTTGTAAACACTGTAAAGCGACATACAGAAGTAAACAGTCTCTGAATGATCATATATTAAAAAAACATCCAACTGAAATATCATCAGTTAAAGGAGTGATATATCCTTGCGACGAATGCGCGTTCAAGACCTGTTTCAAACGTGCATTTGATAAACATATCGTGACACATTCTGGCAGCAATGTATGCATACACTGTAACGAAAGATTTAAACATAAATTATTCCTTGATGATCATATTTTGAAAAGTCATGCGACGCAGATCGACGAAGTTACTCGATTAGTACATCAATGTACAAACTGTACGTACAAAACCGTCATAAAGAATAACTTGATCGGACATGTCGTAACAGAACATTCCGATCCATCTACTTCCAAAATTGGCGAAATTTTGCAAAGCGAAGTTTACGAATGTAAAAAATGTCCGTACAAAGGAAAAGACAAACAATGCTTTTACAAACATCTGATGGTGCACAGTGATTCATTTGCTGGCCTTAAGTTTAGCACTTGTATACATTGCAACGTGAGTTTTAAAAGACCCGAGAATCTAGACGAGCATATAATAAAAAAACATCCCGATCGCATAGCCTCCGTTACTCGGAAAATATATGAATGTTCCCGATGCCCATACAAAACTGTCAGGAAGCTTAGCCTAGAGAGTCATATCGCGACGCATCCTGGTATAGATTCAACTGGCACTGATAAAGCGTGTCGACATTGCGATGCGACTTTTAAAAGAAAAGAAGCTTTGGATGATCACGTGGTAAGGAAGCATCCGGATTTTATATCGGCAATTACACGACCTATACATGAATGCCCGAATTGTCCGTATAAAACCGTCGTAAAATCTATCATAGACAAACATTTGAAAACACATAATGTGACACGTACAACTCCTAGGCACAATAAGTGTGCCCTTTGTAGCGCGGCGTTTTCTAGCGGGGTAACGTTAGATAATCATATAATAAAACATCATCCGGATTATACGACTTTAATAAATCGTAAAATTTTTCGTTGTCCGAAATGTTCGTTTACCACTTGTCGCAGGTATACGTTGAATAAACATATAACTTCACTACACAGTGACGCAACCTGCAGCACGTGTAAACATTGCAATACTAGTTTTAAACAAAAGCGAGCTCTAGATGACCATATCGTCGCGGAACATCCAAACTTCATTGAATCTGTTGCACGAAAAATATACAATTGTACGAGTTGTACATATAAAACTACTAGATCCCATGCGTTGGACGCGCATTTGCTGTCGCATCCTGGCACAGACAAACGGTAACCACATACAGTATCATGGACATCCGTTCCGTTGTCCCAGAGACGAGAGTCCAAGCCTAGACCATGCTGATGAGCACCCAAAAAGCACGAAACACCGCATCACCGGACCGATTTTCAAAAACTACAAAGCTTTGCGTCCTTGGCGTAGTAGTGACATTGTGTAAAAAATCCGCAGGGCTAAAAACCTATAAAACGTCAAAAAAAACGAAAAAACGTCATTCATCTATAGAAGAATGACTGATGCTTTGTTGGTTGCAGAATACCGAGATAGTCTGTAGAGTATACATTACGATTTTCCCCGTTTTTTTTTGCGTTTTCGAAAACTTGAGAAGCATTACGGGAAATCAGCACCGCACCCGCGTTGTACGTAAGCCGCATCACAGAAAAATTTTCGCAGTGCCTCATATCTAGACGCTGATTTTACACCCAGAAAGAATAATTTCTTCAACTTGATTTTTTGGCAATGAGGTAGTCTTACATCAAGAATGAAATTTCGACAAATAATGCGTTGGGCGACCCCGCAGCTAAATACACTCCTGTGTACGTCTAGGCATCGACAGAATGAGATGAACGATGTCTGGTTGTGGCAGAGTCTGTAGCGGATGGTGCAAAGTGGATAGTCTCCTCCGCATCATATTCTTGAAGAAAGTCCGTAGTGCGACGAGCAATATGGGGACGTGCGTTTTCTTGCTGAAAAAGGATATGTGATCGGCCACCGACAGTCCTGTCTACATGTCTCTCAACACAAATCCACTATCATGTCACGTGCCAAATCACATAACCTTGTTTTTACTATTTTGATCACTTACCAGTAATTTGAATTTCACTTCATGACTTACAGAGTACCGATTCCTAGGCATCCTTTTAATGATTTTCTTTAGGCAAATTTCATAGTTTGTTGATTGTATAATTTCCCACATATCATACTATATCTTTCTTTCTCAGCAACTCAGTATTGTGTTGAAATCTTTTGGACACTAATGTTATAGCATTATTAACGACTATCTCAGAAATTTCCTCACAAAATATTGTTGGTCACTCGTAGAGAGTTGGTTCTGCTCATTTGCAACCAGCGCGCCACCTTGTGATTTCTACACGTACTAGCTAGTATATGAATATTTGATTTCCTGTCGGGATACCTTTTTACCCATCAAGATACCTTCTTTACTGGCTTTTCTCCGTTCCTTTTGTCGAACATACCTTCTTCAAGGCCACTCATTTAACCTTCTTTTAAAATTTTAGGTTTTAACCGAGTCATTTACTTTCCTGCTGAGATTGTGGTGTGGGTGTCGTTTCATAAATTGGGATATTAGACCGCCCAACACCAATTTATTGAGTAATACCCTCTTAATTTTGTACCTTACGTTTGGTTGTTTTGGTTTGGGTGCTACCCCGTCCATTTTCTAATCGGATTTTCACTTCCAGCGGTGAGTTCTCTTTTGTATACCATCGGGTCACGTCCATTAACGCATGTCCTGCAGCTTTGTTTTGTAGCTACTTTGTAGCTGTTTCGCAGCCGATTTTGTTGGAAGCCATCCCTCCCCGTTTACAAAAAAACCTGATGTGAACAGGTAAAATATCATTTTAATTGTAATTTGTATTTTATAGATATTGATTTTTGCTGATTGAAATTCTTAGTGTTCTTGATTTTGTTTGTCATTTTTCGTATTCAAATATAGGGCAGTGCCTACATGTCTCGTTCTTTTGGGCTTACCACATTACATTGATCATGATTTTGATATTTTAGAACAAGGGATAACTTTCTTAGGGTATATCTTCTTTTCCAAACCATTGGTCAGCGATCTGACGCGTAGTAATGAATCGACAATAACTAAACATATCTGTTCTACTCAAGAAATAACATTTTAACAAAGGAAAACAAAAACCAAGATAAAATGTTGACAATGTTGCCACAGCATCATAAATACAGGGTGTCCGCAAAGAAAAAAATCACATGGTGTTAAGTCTGGAGATCGCGGAGGCCACGCTAAGGGTCCATTACGTCCGATCCACCTATTCGGAAATAATTCATTCAAAAACTCACGCACTTCGCGTCTAAAATGGGGCGGAGCACCATCGTGCAGAAACCACATTGATTGTCTCACACTTAATGGCACATCTTCTAACAAGGAAGGCAAAATGTTGCGTAAAAAGTCTAGGTATTGCATCCCGTCCAATCGATTTGGGAGAATAAATGGTCCAATGAGCATACCGTTCACCATGCTAGCCCAAACATTCACCGAAAATGTGCCCGACGGACAGCGTGCGGATTTTCTACGGACCAAACATGAGTGTTGCGAAAGTTATTCACCCCATTACGCGTGAACGTAGATTCGTCTGTCACCAATATGCAAAGTCCGGATTATTGTCATGTTGATGCAACAACCACTCACAAAACCGCACTCTTGCTGGAACATCGTCAGATTGAAGGGCTTGTACACGTTGGACGTGAAACGGATACAGCCCCTCGTCACGCAGCGTTTGCCACACTTTAGTTTTTGATACTTGCACTTCTCTAGCCACGTCTCTAGTGCTTGTTGAGGGATTCTCGTCTACGCGATTACCTCTACAGGCGTGACCGTAACCGTCGGTTGAAGGTTGCATACTGACCTGACACACTGACCCCGACCCAGTTTTGTCGTCGGGTTGAGACAGTGACCTTGTACCACTCGGGGATGTCGCGGATCGCGGCTACAGGACGGTATTCAGATATTTTTGTTGTTGCAGAGCCCTTTATCTCGGTTCCCTTAATACATTGGTGTATATGGTACTAAGAAAAATTGCTTATGTTTTCAAGATCTACACGTCGCGTAAAGGAAAACCCCAATTTTGCGGACATTGAAGAATTTTTTTTCTGGGTGTAACACTTCTGATGACTGAGTGCATTTTCTAACAATTATGCGAAAAATATGTACCCGTACTGCGTGATTCAGAACAAGCTTCATATAGTAAGTTAAGAAATTTTATCAAAACCATCGGAAGTAATTGGTGTAATTCTTTTTCAGCGGGAGAAAAAGAAAACGCAGCAAAAAGGGAGTAGCAGTAACCCATAAGGAAGCAGAGGGACAACGATTTATTTGCTATAATTGTAACTATACAACGCACAGTAAACGAAGCTTGACCTGTCACATAAATAGTAGCAAATGTAGATTGACCGTATACAAAGACAAAGTGAATGATTTTGCGTGCACTAATTGTAAAAGGGCATTCAAAAGTAAGACTATGCTAGACGACCACATATTACGGAAACATCCAAAGTGCATAAGCGAAGTCACTCGTAAGATACACGAATGCTCTAAATGTTCGTATAAAACCACGATAAAAATCAATATCGAAAGGCATATCATGCTGACACATCCTGGCTTGAAATCGAACTTCAAGTTTAGCAGTTGTCCACATTGCAACGCTACCTTTAAAAGGAAACAATCCGTAGACTCGCATATAATAAGAAAGCACCCACAATTTATATCCTCCATTAAAAGAAAAATCTTCGAATGTTCACATTGCACATATAAAACTATCCTGAAGCCGGAACTAGACAAACATGTGCTGTTACATCCAGGCGCTTCCTCCGTACAACTGAGCGTATGCGTCCATTGCAACGCGTCATTCAGGTTCAAAGACGTTTTGGATAATCACATATTAAAACACCATCCCGAGTTTATAGAGACGATAACAAGGAAGATACACACTTGTCCGATTTGCCTGTACAAAACCGTTCACAAGACCGCTTTGGATAGACACATGTTGGTACATCCGGGAGCTTCTACGAACATCCAGCTGAGCACTTGTCCGCATTGCGATGCTACATTCAAAAAGAAACAGTCCGTGGATGATCACATTTTGAGAAAGCATCCCGAATTTATTGACACCGTGACCTCGACAATCTATCAATGCACCACTTGCAGTTACAAGACCGTCGGCAAGTGCGATTTGGAGAAACATCTGACCAAACACCTTGACATTGAATTGAAGTTGAGCAATAAATGCATGCATTGTGACGGGAAATTTAGAGAGATCAAGTTCCTCGACGATCATATTATTACCGACCATCCCGATCAGGTAGCGTCAATAACCAGCAAAACGCATGAATGTACCGAATGCTCGTTCAAAAGTACCGTAAAGGGTCGCTTAGACAAACATTATCGGACGCTGCACCCTGAGGCGACTTTCGGGTACAGAATCAGTACTTGCGTGCATTGTGGCGCGACTTTCAAAAAAGATCAAGCTCTCGATGATCATATCATCAGAAAACATCCGGATTTCATCTCGACCATCCCAAGGAAAATACTCGAGTGTCCGATTTGTTCGTATAAAACTGTCGGCAAGGCTGGGTATGAAAGACATCTAACGGTACATCCCGGAGCGAGTACCGTTCAACTGATACCGTGCGTTCATTGTAACGAGGAGTTTAAAACCAAACAGACGTTGGACAACCACATAATAAAAAAACATCCGGAGCATATCGGATCGGTTAGAAGGAAAATACGTCAATGTACTCGGTGCGACTATAAATCGTTTAGATTGCCGGATATAACGAAGCATCAAGAGCGATGTGATCGGAGAGCAAAGAAAAATTCTTCGTAGTGAAAGTGCCAGAATCGGCCATTGAGAGAGTGAGATGGCAAGATGACTGTCGGAGCTTGCATCTGTTTGGACCTGTTTCGTGCTTTGTGGCAATTTCTCGGCATGGTCTAGGCACAGAATATAAAATATAAACCTGAAGCTACATTCACACTCGCACAATCTTCAGGGCGCAATTTTCAGACGCCGGTTTACGTATAGATAGGGTTAACGCATAGAAAACCTATACAGGAGTTATACATACATATATACTAGCAGTAATCATTGCGATTGCCAACGACCAATTGGGCAGAAAATACAATTAAATTGTTAATTAGGAATTGGCAAAACCTAAAGCTTAGTTAACTCTTTTGACGGTAAGCTCGAGCTTTCGACAAACAATGTTGTCATCCTCAGGAGCTAAAACACAAATTTGAAAGTAGCAACCAATTTAGAACAGATTTAAATTTTCCAATCACTTACTCGTCGGTCAGGTTGCAGCTAAATGGTGTTTTAAAGCGAATACGTGGACGAGAACACCTGTTGTAATTATGAAACCAAAAGATCGGGCACATTGGGTTTGTTGCGAACCGCGGAACACATAGCTAGGTGTTACATCCGTATATCAATAAAGACGAACCAATTAAAAATCGTATAACATACTCAAGTTCACAGGTAACTCTGGGATTAGAAGCATAATCCATAATATTGTCATTATTATTAGTTGAAGAATTACTGGTCGTCCGATTGGAAATAGCAGGATTCTGTTAATCAAATACTTCGGATAACCATTCTTGATGAATAAAGCTGAAAGCTTCCTCAAAATAGACAGATGGAAAGTATTGTCGGAGATTTTCACTACCCTATTCTTCATTTGCTTCACCAAATTTATCTTTAAGTTCGAACATACCTTCTTCAAGGCCACTCATTTAACCGTCTTTTAAAATTTTAGGTTTTCCGAGTCATTTACTTTCCTGCGGAGATTGTGGTGTGGGTGTCGTTTCATTAATTTCGAAATTCTGGGATATTAGACTCCCCAACACCAATTTATTGAGTAGTACCCTCTTATTTTGTACCTTACGTTTGGTTGTTTTGGTTTGGGTGCTACCCCGTCCATTTTCTAATGGGATTTTAACCTCCAGCGGTGAGTTCTCTTCTGTATACTATTAATGCATGTCCTGCAGCTTTGTTTTGTAGCTACTTAGTAGCTGTTTCGCAGCCGATTTTGTTGGACGCCATCCCTCCCCCTTTACAAAAAACCCTGATGTGATCAGGTAAAATATCATTTTAATTGGGTATTTTATAGATATTGATACATTGATTTTTGCTGACTGAAATTCTTAGAGTGTTCTCCAAGATACGTAATACGGCTGCGGTTCTTACTAACAATGAATGTCCGACAAGGTAGCGGGCGATGAATTTACTTTACCACACTAAGGCGTAAAGATGAATATGAGACAGAGTAGATGGCCAGAAGCCGTTTTAAAGTACACTTTACCGTATATCATACCTGCAATTCACTATCGGCGAAGATCGTTGATCGTGTCATCGTTCATAACAGGCACGATCATCGCGCAAGCATCCACACGAGCGTTCGTAGTAGTTTGTCAAACGGCAAGCATCAATATGACCCGTCCATTCCCTTTGATACGTGCCCGAAAAACTGACATTTCACGGGCCGGAATCGAAAATAAACGATGATTGCCGAGTACAGCCGATGATCGCCGAGTACAGCCGATGACCGCCGAGTACAGCCTAGTATGTTCTTTACACGATCGTAATCGCTTGTAATCGCCGATTATGGGAGCCACTACACAGTAGAGGAGAACATCAACAAAATTATATGAGAAATAACAATTTCAACTAAAATATTCGCAGGCTACGCTCATTGTATATAAGAAATTATCAATGCAATATTCTTGTATTTAAGCTTGCCTGTCTACATTATAACGTTCAGAAGTAAACCAAAGTTAACCAGAATAACAAATGTATAATTTAACATTAAGATATATTGTATTATTGCATTAGTGTTCCTATAAATATGTATTTATATTCCTTTTACAAAAGTAAAATAAACAGTTTGGAAAAGACTTTTTTGTGTACGTTGTTCTTCCTAGTGTCAACTTCTCATTTTCCTCGTACGTGACATAAAAATATCAAAAACTGATTCCACGTATATTGTAATAGCTTCACAACGATTGAAGAAAGGTATAAACTTTATCAAACAAAAGTTACTAAAAACTTCATGGATATCTAAAAATTAAAAAAATGAGGGTTTCGCAATATCTTATTTTTGGATCACCATGGCTATACGGCTATAGATGAAAAGACGTCCCCCTATAAATCAAAATTGACGTGTTTTTCACAAAATATACCAGGAGAGTCACAAATAGTTGTGTATACCCAAGAAGGGACCGGCAAGAAACTAACGACATCTATGAAGCAGAAGCACAAAAATGACTTTGAAAAGAGAGTATTTGCGTCTCTCTAACGCCTATTCTGATGCTTTGACTGTGATCTATAACTGTAAAAGTACAATAATTATTAGATATTGAATACCGTACTTGTTTATTCTCCAGTCCAGTTCAAGACCCAGTATTTCTATGTCTAGGCGCACTATGTTAATAATTGAAACAAAAAACCCTAAATTTGTTTACTTTGTACTGATATGATTTTATATTTCAGTATTTTCTTAGTTTATATGTGTATTATCGCCATGTGGTTCCAGATGTTCTCTGTCTTAGTCTAAAAGGTTGCTAGGAAGAATCTTCGCGTCCGCTCAAAAAATATTGAGCGTCGCCTTTTTGCATAATTTCCAAATTTGCGAGAAAAATTAATTTTTCAAATTCGCAGTAAATTGCACATGGTCTTTTTGGGAGATTCAGGCATGGTATTCCCTGCTCTTACACCGTCATTTTAAATAAATAGCTTTGGGTAACTATAGTATAACTATCTAAAACTGTAATGACTCATCGATGTTCACGTGAACATCACTTAACTACCAGTAGTCGGCTGTTCATAGGCGGGGTATGAATGTTTAACATGGGTGAACTAGATTTGTCACATGCTTAATAAAGAGTGGTTTGAAACATATTGTAAGTCAAAAATTTGGGAATTACCTTTATTCATCGTCGCTTCCACTTACATCTGACAGTAATAAACTGTCGCTATCGCTTTCCTCGTTGAAATTGACTATAACTGGCTCTATGATGGTGTCGCTGTGGTGGTCAAGCTGCCACATTTTTGTTTCTTCCTTCGCAACATCACGGATAGCATTCTGCCAAGCTTCGGGCGTTACTAGCTGTATGGAAGTCTCAAGTAAAACCTTACCGCCTGGTAATTTGAAGGTTGTGTTATGGCGCGCAATATAACCCTTCACTTGAGCCCAGATGAGCTCTATTGGGTTCAGTTCACAGTGGTAGGGCGGTAACCGCAGCACAGTGACACCACATTGACGGGCCATCTCATCAGTCACGTAACTAATGTTCGCAGGTTTGTGCTGTTTAATTTTTTCATACAATTCCGCTTTCACACATGAATCGTCAAACGGGATTCCTTTTTCGCGCAACCATTGCTGCATGTCACTTTTTCGAGATCCCATAGTCGGTACACGTTCGGCTCGACGACTATGGTAGGAAGCATTATCCATGACGATCACAGAGTTGGGCTCAACTCGCTGAAGCACCCCTTGAAACCAGCTCTCGAAGCAGCTGGCATTCATTTCGTCAAATCAAGTCACACTCTTCTAAAAAGCCACTATCGCTACCAATATGAGTTACGATCAATCTTTGACCTTTCCCTGACGGTCCACGAAGACCTGTTGACAAACCTTCAATGCTTGCTTGTCGGTTACTCACTACGTTTTTGTCTATCCAGGTTTTTTTAACTGTGTGACCTGCATTTACCCATGTCGTGCCCAAATAATAGATTTTTCTGCTTTGTGGCCTATATTCAATCATTTCGCGTAGGTATTTTCGACGCCAGGCGACTATTTCAGGTCTCTCTATCAATACTGACTTCCGATTACGCGTTTCGTAACGAAAATTAATTTCGTGCAGAGATTTCCTCATTACCTCGACGCTCATTTGGGGTATAATTTCATTTTCCTTGATCGCTGCATGTACAGCCTTGAGGGTTGGTATCTCATTCCTAAAGAAGAATGAATGTACGGTTCGCCTTAACGCCATTTTGCTATCGTCAACCAATTTAACGGCTCTTCGTCCCTTCAAATTAAACTTTGGATCAGTAGTAGCTCCAGTTTTCTTCTTTTCATGCACCGCCCTGCGAATGGTCCACTCTGGAACGCCTGTCATACTTTCACAACGCATCTCCCTGCGACATAGTTCTGTTCAGATAATTGAACACGTTGAGCACGATTTCTTTCGCGTCCCTCTTCAGTGCTTTACGAAGCCGCCTACTTGTTCCCTGGCTTTCAGTACTTCCACTCGTGCCATTTGTACTCTCCATGGTTAAGTATAAGCAAAACAGTAACCACAGAAACCACAACAATAACAATCACAACAATTCTTATAAAAACACACAATATGCGATCGCTCAACGAAACACGTTCCAATGCGTTGCCGACGCCTATGAGTCTGCCGGTCGAGGCGCGTCTTTGATTTCATTGGTTCTACCGGCGGAGAACAATCAGCCATTATTTCCATCTCTGTCTGTGCTGTTGACCACCGCAAAGCCACAGAAACGACATATGTCGTACGCTATACGGCTGTACTGGAAGGAAGCCAGGATCGAGCTCTGATCACGTGTTTATCACGCGTATGAGTCATTACAGTTTTAAATAGTTATAGTATATACTGTTTCTTATTTCTAATTTATACATCTTAAAGCGATAACTTCAAAATAAATAAATGTCAACTGACAGTAAAGTAAGTAAACAAACTTTTGTTTCCAAAGGCAACTTGATATTATTTTGTGTATTTTGTGCCAGAACTCTCAGGACATTATTAATAATAGCCTTTATTTTGATGGGCAAATTTCAGCTTGTCAGCTGCTCTTCCACTTAACCCATCAATATAAGCAAAACACTGCACCACAAGAACCTTAACAAATTAGAGCTAATAAAACATGTTTTTGACTTCAGATTTAAACCTAGATAAATATTGGTTCAGTCTTCGCAACCTATGACTTTCCTGTGTCATATAGCGGTGTATATTTATCATAGTCACAATTTTTAAATTTGAGACTAAACTGCATGCAAAGTTTCACGCCTAAAAAATATAGTTGTATCATATGTTCAGGCTCAGTACAATGTTAAAATGTAATTATTGGTATTCTTTTTCAGTGCGGGACTGAGAAAATACTGGGCAAAAGGAGTAGGCGTTGGAGATACGGAAGCAGATAAGGGAGAATCATTCATATGCTATAATTGCGGCTATACAGCTTATAACAAACATACTTTAATCAAACACATCAAAGTTGGCAATTGTAATTCGATCACAGACGTTAAAAAACCTTCAATCACGTATACCAGAGCTCATCCAGCCAATCTGTACGTTTGTAAACAATGTAGTAAAGAATTCAATAAGAAAACCAATTTAGACTATCATATAGTCAAAGAACATCCGGAGATCATCGCGACGCTGTCTTGCAAAATATACGAATGTCCTGTTTGCCATTACAAAACTGCCTGGAAGGGCAACTTCGATAGACATATGTTAATACATCCCGATCCTTCTGCCTCCGACAGCGGCACCCATACTTGTGCAGAGTGCACATTCAAAACAAGCAACGTAAGTGTTTTGCGCAAGCATATGCTAAAAAAGCATCCTCGTTCGCAGTCTAGATACAAGATAGGCAGCAAGTGTATGTATTGCAATTCTGTATTTCTGAATAAGATAAATCTAGATGGTCATATAATGAATAAACACCCGGAGCATATAAACGCAGTTACTTGCAAGATACATGAATGTCCGGTCGCAACTTGCGATTATAAAACGACAAAAAAGAGCAACGTTGACCGACATATGTCGAAACATCCGGAAGTCTCGAATTACAAATACAGTTTGTGCCAGCATTGCAGCGCGACTTTTATAGAAAAAAAGACGTTGGACGATCATATGATAAAAAAGCACCCAGAGTTCGACAAATCCGTTAATCGAAGTATATTCGAATGTCCAAAGTGTCCGTACAAAACTGTCTTAAAAAGCAGGTTTGATAGGCATCTGATGGTGCATCCTGGCGCAGCCCTTAAGTTGATTCTCAACGCATGTAAACATTGTGACGCGACCTTCAAAATGAAGAAGGGGTTAGACGATCACATAGTGAGAAAACATCCAGAATTCATGGCAACGGTGACAAGAAAGGTACATCAGTGTCCGTACTGTCCGTATAGAACTATCGAAAAGACGGGGCTAGATAAACATTTGATTAAGCATCCTGACGCTGTTTCTAGTATAAAGCTGAGTACATGTGAACATTGCCACATGTCTTTCAAACGAAAACCAACTCTAGACGATCACATAGTAAAAATCCATCCAAATTTTATTTCGTCGGTTACCCGGAGAATATATGAATGCCCGTATTGTCCATATAAAGCCACCAGGCCTGTGGATGTCAAAAGACACCAAAAAATTCATCTTGATGCGACCAAATCTCAATGACCTGTTTCAAAAGAAATTACTGTAGACACGATGTTTGGATAACGAATTCGACGACGCTGCAGCTCGACAGTAAGGCCATTGCCTGTAAAGTAGGGTAAATCGTACCGGTTTTTAAATTTTTTACCACTGTACTCAAAAATTGAACTCTTTATTGATAACACTGGACAACAAATTTTAGTTTTTTAATTGTATCTTGTGGGAAAAGTGCACCTCTTTGTTAATTTTGGGGCGCTGAATCCAAAAATGACAATGAAATAAAAAAATTAGTTGCGGTTTAGAAAAAAAAACTTTTTATTTTTAAGGATATATTAAAAAAAGTAACAAGATTCATATACTTATAAGAATCACTATATGCGCTGTCTTTTTGCTGTTCTTTTATGGATTGTTTCTGGAGCATCTCTACCAACAGTCCAACAGTAGTCTGCAAGCATGGAGGGATTCCACTTTCCCTGATACCTTTTTTCCATTGTTGAAATATCCTGATGAAAACGTTCGCCGTGCTCATCACTTACGGCTCCGCAATTGTCAGGAAAAAAGTCCAGGTGTGAGTGTAGGAAATGTATCTTAAGAGACGTATTACAGCCCATCTTTTGATACGATGACAAGGGTTTTATAGTTGTCAGCTTTTCTATTTTCCAAGAAATTAGTGACCACCAGACGGAAATCATTCCAAGCAGTTTTTTCAATACCTGTTAAAGTGTTTTCAAACTGTGTATCTTTCAAAATATTTCGAATCTGTGGCCCAACAAAAATACCTTCTTTAACCTTTTCCTCACTTAGTCTTGGAAATTTCTGACGCAGATATTGAAAAGCTGACCCATCTCTATCTAATAATGCCTTGACAAAGTTTTTCATTAGGCCCAACTTGATATGCAGTGGTGGTAATAAAAATTTTTTCGAATCTACTAATGGCATATGCTGTACATTTTTTTGACCTGGCTCTAGGAATTGACGAACAGGCCAGTTTTGTCTGGTGTAATGAAGTGCCTTTGCCCGACTGTCCCATTCACACAAAAAACAGCAAAACTTTGTGTAGCCTAGCTGCAGCCCAAGTAAAAGTGCAACAACTTTCAAATCGCCACAAATATGCCATTGGTGCTCATCGTATTTTATGCATGTCAATAGGTACTTCATATTGTCATATGATTCTTTCATGTGAACTGCATACCCTACAGGAACAGATGGTAAAATATTTCCAATATGCAATAACACTGCCTTTAAACTCAATGTTGAACTGTCTATAAACAATCTCCATTCTTCTGGGTTATAGTTTATATTTAAAGCCGCCAGTAAGCCGTTAATGTTTCTGCAGAAGACCAAGTTATTCTCCATATTGAAAAATGGTTCTAAGTCTTTGTGGCGTTTACGAAAAACACATACCGAAACATGGTCTTCTAACAAGTTCCACTGCTGCAGTCTTGATCCAAGTAACTCTGCCTTACATTTTGGAAGTTCTAAATCTCTTTCAAGATCATTTAATTCTGACTGTGTTATTTTGTGCGGTTGGTGGCATGACGTGCTCGGTATAAAATCAGGATCTCTTGACGTTGTTGGCATATCTTCTTCCTGACGAATCACTCGATCGCCATGATCTGATTCGCAAGTGTAGGATTCTGGGGGTTTTGGAATAGGATTTTCGTCACTGTGAGGCACAGGTCTCATCGCCGATGGTATGTTTGGGTAGTTAATAACCGATTTTTTTTTCTTGGACATACCTGTGGCTTGTCCAACACAAGGTACCATGCAAAATTAACAATCATTAATATGATTTGTAGGCTCCAAACCATTGGGACAGTAAAGCGCATAGACCGTTTTTTGCCATTTAACCAGCTCCTCAGACTTGAAGCACATGTATTACAGCAGATGTGGGGTGCCCACTGTTTGTCTTGATCACCTAGTTTACAACCGAAATAAAGCTGATATGCCTTTGTTATTAGTGGAGTAATAGACCGTCTCCGAGACGCAAAAGTCACATCACCACACACGTAACAAAACTGACCTGGATTGTTTACACAGTTTCGAGACATCTTGCATGAACGCTGTCAGCCCACTGAGGAAAAAATGGCTTATATAAAACAATATAATGTACACGTATGTATAACGTAACACAATCATGCCGATTACATCATCTTTCCTTGCCGAATATAAAAATGTAGCACGTGCATTCTTGTGAATTACAGTATATTAACACTGTCACAGCAGGAACGCATATAATTACCGTATCTCTAAAACTTGAACTAATATTGAAAAAATAAGTTTCATTCCGGTTTTAGCACATTAAAAATAGTAATATTTTGTTTACGATATTTTTTGGCTGTTGATCAGTGTTATCATGGGCGGTACAGTTTGACCGGCAGCACTTTCACAAACGACAACTGTCTATACTTCCAACTTCTTGCTTTCCTCTACGTGCAATTATTTTTTCCGTTTCTGAATTGTTGAAAATCCACTTTCATCAACATTATAAATTTTTTGAACCCATTTTTTGAACACATTTTTCTAAATTTCGAAAAACTTCTGGACGTTTTTTTGGTAGAATCCAGTTGCTCTGGCCACTGAGATTTTCTCTGGCTGTCTAAGTGACAATTCAGGATGTCGGTCCATAAAAGAATAATACCATCCTTTTCCCGCCTTTTCCTTATTGATATTGAAACGGTGTGGAATATCATTCCGAACAGCTATTTGAAAAGCCAATCGTCGAACATCCCGAATTATTACACCAAAAAATCTTTCTTCCTGCTTTAAAATATGTTTTGCCAATTCCCTTTCAATTTCAGGCCTAAAAGTTGTGTGTCGACCCAAAGTCTGAAAATTTTCATTTGCCTTTTTATTTAAAGGGCGCAAGTGCCTTCTAAAAGTCGGCTTTGGATTGTTATAACACACTTGTTTTGTTTGTATGCATTAGTCGCATGGTCCATATCTTCTGAGGTCCATCGACGGTATTCCCGTTTTGTTATTTTCTTATTTCTTACTTTACTCACCTTTTTTAAAAACCTGTAACAAAAACTTTGTTGAAAATCGAAGCAAAGAGCCTCAGTTGGGTAAATTGTACGATCTACAAAACCGTGGGTGGTACGATATAAAAAACAAGCACGAATGTATGTTTATCAATTAAATTTTAATCTAAATAAACACATTTTCAATTAATTATTACAGCAACAACTAACTGCATGTCCATAAAATGCGTAAAAATATATCTTAAAAATATCGACTTACCAAACGTAAAAAACAACTTATGAATAGGAGCAAAAAATAACATGCTTTTAATTTAACCTCAAACTGACTTACAGTGTGAAGTGAACTGCAAAGAATAATTTGGGCGGGGCATATATATTTTATTGACTACATAAAATTGTTTAAAATTAATGAACTATTACTGCTCCAAGTGAAACAGTTTAATTATATTAATTAAATCCAATTAATTAGCTAGGTACTAAATAGTTTACCTAGCTTTAAAGAATTGTATTATTTAGATTTAAAAGTATGTTTGGATATAGCGTTTAAAGATGTGTAAAACCTAAGGCTTACTGTCCACGTTAACCGCACTTCATGCAGGGTTGCCATATTGGGGGATTTTCCCCAAATTTGGGGGATCTTTACGTCCCTTGGGGAATTTTTGGGGTATTTTAAAATTAAAATTGTTGGATATTTTTGGGGTATTTTATTCCATCATTAACTACGGAAAACTGTCAACGCTTTTTATTTCCCATGTCGCACTCATCTCCACAAAACATCTACGCTGACCCATCTCTACACCTTTATGTCAATTGTAGATTGGTAGACAAACATCCATAGTCACAGAATTTAGCCATCCTAGGAGGTTCCGTAAATTTTGCAAATTCTCATAATAAACACAAGCAGCGGCAACGCTGCGGTGAGCGATCTGTTCGAGAACGATCTCGATTACTTTGAACGGAATAAATAGGCAAGTCCATCGGTTGGGTGAGAGTTTGCAATTAAAAACATTATGAGCAGTAAGCAAGAAGATGAAGACATACCATTTTTTTTATTCGGAATGGAAAGACAATATTCCTCAACAGAAGTTAAAGGTAAAAATGTATGAAGCTGTACATTAGAATGTTGAAAAATCATTTCCATTGCGTTCTGCAGCCAGAACAGAAAATCTGAAACAACTAAAAAACAGTTAATTGGGCAAAAAACAATCGACAAAAGTAAGGCTGCAACTGAAGCATCATACCGGATGTCCCACATACTTACACAAAAGAAGAAACCTTATGAAGACGGGGAAATGATAAAACAGGGGTTTTATCTGTGTATAATCTCATTTAAGTTGGCTTGCATTGCTTATGACTAGACTGTTTATTTCAAAATTATCAGAGTAGCTCATCAAACTGAAAAGGTTGGCGACCACTGAACTAGACTATTACTCATGTTCTTCTCGTTTTTTATATACTCTGTATATATACTCTGTAACTACTCCCACCTCTACAACCCTGTAGCCTTAAGCGCGCCACATAGGCGCCGTATAGGTCGATAGATACCCTAAACCTCGTCAGCTGAGGAACATGCACAATAATGCACGATCTGCAAATGTGTTATTCGTCGCCGGTAAAGTTTTATCGGTTTATAAAAACTGGATGGGCAGACGCGTCGGATTATTCCTGCCCTGGGATCAGTCGGAAACATAACGTACCGCATTCGTCAAATGACGCGACCGTGGACAGTGGGCCTAATATTTATAAATATTTTCGGATAAAAGTGAAAACTTCAGAATTTTGTAACCCTAACCTGTTTTATATTTTCATTGTGTACTTATCAAGTGCTACCAAGTATTTGTCTGATTGTAAAAATACAGTTTGTAATATTTCGATATTCAATAAAAGAAATTATTTTAAACATGTTTTCTTTTCAAAATGTTATCACTATTTCCTTTTGCCCATGTCTAAATGTGTACAAAATTTCATTCAAATAAAATCATTTGTGTTGGGTGATTTATTTAGTTTATCAGTTAGTATACAATACTGAAGAAGTACCAGTTTCTTGTTCTTTAAGATCTCGTATCTCCGAAACGGATCAGTATTTCGACAAGATAGTATGTATGTATCTATTTGATTCAACCAAAATGACACAAATGTGTATAAGGCAAGTCATATACGAGGTCTGTCCGGAAAATACGTATAAAAGTTGAGTAATAACTTTATTTTACAAGGAATTTCAATATGCTCTCCTTCAAAGTACCTATTGGCGTAACTGCGGCAAATAAGCAAGCACCTCTTCTAATGCACATGGAATATAGAATCAAACTGCCTGATCACGATTGGGTAATCGCTGAGCGTCATAAATTAATACCATCTGTTTATGCTGGTATCAAAATCACTTCCAATATGCTAGGACAACCGCAAACCGTTGGATATTCTGGACCAACATACATCGCTATTCCAAGTGGAAAGCATAGTTCGAATTTGCAGGAAATGTATTAGCTGAAGTATGGAGTTCAATGGAAATTGATGGCTATAATGTTAATGCAAAATATGTTGGGGCAGGTGAACAAGATCTTCCTGATTTTCCAGACATTAAATGGTATCCAGAGCATGTGCGAGAGAGCCAATACTTGCTTCAAATTGTAAAATGTAGAAATAGAGAATGCTGTCGTCCAAGAAGTGACCTATTTAGATTACTAGACAATGGGTTGCTTTCACCACCTGTAAACGTAAAACAAACTGTTGATGACTTAGTTTTGGATGAAGGAGGGCAATTTCTTAATCTTCCAGTCAATTTAGCTATACGCTTTATAACGTTATAATTATAATATTAAAAAAAACAAAACATTAATTGACAAATGTTTATTACGTAAGCATGGTGGGAGGCGGTAAGAGCTTTGCTTACTTTTGCTGACAAGGAGGATGGCGGGGTAAATAATTGTAATAAATCTGCTTACGTAATACTTAAACGGCCCCTAATGGAAAACGCAGCAAAACGGGCACATTTTGTTTTGGCCATTAAAGGTGGCTACTTGATAGATGTTGTGTTCAAAAACTAGTCCCAATAAATTGTAAAGGACATATTTAATAAAAATACGCGATATATAGAAATCAGTTTTTCCTTTTCAAAGTTATTTCATGTTTACATACCGACATAACAGATGGCGCACCCTGTATAGTCTAAAGAAGAACACCACCTGAATTTTGGTCCTATGTTCTCGATAGGGGTGTATAATTTTTATAACTTTAACACTAAACTTCAACGTTCAATGTGCCTTTAAGCAGAAAAGAATATTGTTTGTTCTTAGCTCACGCTCAGTACCAGGCCAAAATGTAATTGTTGGTATTCTTTTTCAGCGTGGGACAAAGAAAATACTGGGAAAAAGGACTAGGCGTTGGAGATACGGAAGCAGATATCGGAGAATCATTCATATGCTATAATTGTGGCTATACAGCCCATACCAAACTTACTTTAATCAAACACATCAAATCGGGCAATTGTAATTTGAACAGCGATGATAACAAACCTTTAATCAATCATCCAGCAAATCTATACGCTTGTACACAATGTAGTGAGGAATTCAATAAGAAAATCATTTTAGATAACCATATAGTTAAAGAACATCCAGAGATCATTGCGACGCTTTCTTGCAAAATACACGAATGCAATGTTTGCGACTATAAAACTATTCGGAAGTTTGACCTCGACAGACATGTATTGACACATCCTGTATCAAACAGTGGCGCACATACGCTAAAAGCGCACTCGACTTCATTACCTAAATATAAAACGGGTAGTAAGTGCAAATATTGCAATGCCGTGTTCCGAAATAACGCGAATTTAGGCGGTCATATATTGCTAAAACACCCTGAGCATATATCCGAAGTCACTTGTAAGATACACGAATGTCCAGTCTCAACTTGTAAGTATAGAACAACAACAAAAAACAATTTGATCAGGCATACTTCCACACATCAAGATCTTTCTAATCACAAATCCAACGTATGCCCGCATTGCGACGCGACTTTCAGAGGAAAAGAAACATTGGATGATCATATAGTTAAAAAACACCCAGAGTTTGTTAAATCGGTTAAACGAAGTATCTATGAATGCCCAAATTGCCCATTCAAAACTGTTTTAAAACGCAAGTTTCGTAGACATTTAACAGTGCATCCTGGCGTAGTTTGCAAGGGGAATCCCAATACGTGTATACATTGTGAAGCGGCCTTTAAAATGAGGAGGACATTGGAAGATCACATAGTGAGAACACATCCAGAACTTACGGCGTCAGTTGCAAGAAAAGTTCATCAATGTTCGTATTGTCCATATAAAACTGTCGAAAAGTCGGGGCTAGATAGACATATAGTCAAAAAACACCCAGAATTTGCCAATCTTATCAACAGACCAATATACGAATGTCAAAATTGTCGCTATAAAACTATTTTAAAATACAAGTTTGATAGGCACTCAATAGTGCATAGTGACGAAACTTCCAAGCTGGCTCTTAATAAATGTACACATTGCGAAGCGACCTTTAAAATGAGGCGAGGCTTAGACGATCATATAGTAAGAATACATCCAGAGTTCATATCCTCAGTGACAAGACAAATACATCAATGTCCACGCTGTCCGTATAGAACTGTCGAAAAGGCTGGTCTGGACAGGCATTTGCAAAAGCATCCTGACACTGTTTCTAATACGAAGTTGAGTACATGCGAATATTGCAACATGTCGTTTAAACAAAAGTCAACGCGAGATAATCACATAATCAAAGAACATCCAGAGATCACTGGAGCACTTTCTTGCAAAATTTACGAATGTTCGGTATGCCCGTATAAAAATGTCCGAAAAAGTAAGTTGAACAGACATTTATTGACACATGACGATCTGTCCGCGTCACGTACTTGTGCAAAATGTACATTCAAAACAAGCGACGCAAGCGCCTTGCGCGCTCATATGCGGAAGCAACACACCCGTCATTGCAAACATTGCAACGCTATATTTCAAAATAATGCCAATTTAGGCGGTCATATATTGCTAAAACACCCTGAGCACGTATCTGAAGTTACTTGTAAGATACATGAATGTTCAGTCCCAACTTGTAACTATAAAACGACAACAAAATCTAATATGGTCAGGCATACGTCGACTCATCAAGATGCCTCTAACCACAAATTCAGGTTATGTCCACATTGCAACGCGACTTTCAGAGAAAGAAAGACGCTGGATGATCATATAGTAAAAAAACACCCGGAATTCGTCAAATCTGTTAAAGGCACAATATATGAATGCGCAAATTGCCCATATAAAACTATTGTGAAACAGAGGTTCGATGCGCATCTAATGGTGCATTCTGACGCAGTCCCTATGTTGATTCTTCATACATGTATACATTGTGAAGCGACCTTTAAAAAGGAGAAGACTTTAGAAGATCACATAGTGAAAAAACATCCGGACTTTATATCGTCAGTGACAAGAGAGATACATCAATGTCCATCTTGTCCATATAAAACTGTCGAAAGGTCTGGGTTAGATAGACATTTGTTGACGCATCCCGAGGCTGCTCTTGGTGTAAAATTGATCAAATGCGAACATTGCAATAAGTCGTTTAAACGGAAATGCTCGCTAGATTGTCACATCAAAAAAAAACATCCAGATTAAACTTCGCTTTCTTCTTTTCGAGCACTTGGACCGCTTGATCCAGAGAGCCACCAAAAATCAAAACACGAGGAAGAAATAAATGATACAAGACATTTTTTCCGATTTCGTTTTTCAACATAGTCTCCTTGTAACTCCAGCAGAACCTTCCCACTTCAGTTGGCCCACTTCAAGATTTGTACCAAAATATGCCTTTATAAAGTAAACATGAAGAAACTAAAGGGTTGTCCAATAGGGACGCAGGAAAGTAAACGTCAATTTGACATAGACGCCATCTTTGTTTTCTGTCACCGACATGTCATTTTGTTAGTTGAATGTTTACCATTGATCGCTATGGAGTCGTATTCGATTGAAGACCGCATTAAAGTTATTCAAGAACACCACAAAAAGAGTGCAAAAATAAAAAACACGTTTCGCGCGCTTCGTGAACATTTCGGTCGCCAAAACCGCCCAAACGAAACAACCATCGGTCGTCTGGTGCGTAAATTCGAGGCAACAGGTTCTGTGGCAAATCTGCCAGGCTCTGGCCGGCCAAGGAGCGTTCGCACACCGGAAAATATTGCTGTTGTGAAGGAGAGTGTGAGAGACGATCCGAAACAATCAACAACGCAAGAATTGGGCATTTCGAGAACCAGTTTGCTCCGCATTCTCCACAAGGATTTGAATGTACACGCCTACAAGATCCAATTGACGCAAGAGCTGCGTCGGGCCGACCATTTTTCGCGCCGAACGTTCTCAGATTGGCTCCTTGAACACCGCCCAATTGATGCCAATTTTTCATCAAAAATCATGTTCAGCGACGAAGCGCATTTCACTTTGAATGGGACGGTAAACAAGCAAAACTGCAGCATCTGTGCGAACGAAAATCCCCGTGAGTATCAAGAGCAGCCGATGCATCCTCAAAAAGTGACTGTGTGGTGTGCATTGTGGTCAAAAGGCATCATCGGACCTTACTTTTTCGAAAATGCGGTCGGGGACGCCGTTACCGTCAATTCTGAGCGATATCACCTGATGATAGAGGACTATTTTTTGCCGCAACTTGAAGGAATGGATATGGACGATGTTTATTTCCAACAAGACGGTGCAACATGCCACACAACCAACGTCAATATCCATCAATTGCAGTCCTTCTTCGGTGATCGCGTGATTTCGCGCAGAGGAAATGTGCCATGGCCACCAAGATCGTGCGATTTGACTCCCTTGGACTTCTTTTTATGGGGATATTTGAAAAGCAAAGTCTACGTCAACAAACCAGCCACCCTCCAAGAACTCAAAAACAACATCATTGCCGAGATAAATGCCATAGAACCGATCATGTTGCAAAATGTCATTGAAAATTTCGACCATCGCGTGGACGTCTGTAAATCCAGTCGTGGTGAACATTTGAGCGATATTACACACCTCTCCTAGCGCGTGTATAGCTTTCTGATGCCAAATGTTGATTTAATATGTGACAAACACGTTCTTTTGACATTTTCATGACCTCTGCTATCATTTGGTAAACTTTTTTGACTATGTTTTCGTAGGTACCTACAGCATTTGGACGTCCCGAACGTTCACCGTCTCAAAAGCTCTTACGGCCACGTTAAAACGCAGCTGCCCAAAATTTCACTGTAGTAAACGAAGGTGCAGAGTCCCCATACACGAAATGTGCAAGCTCCGCCCACTGCAATGCTATTCCGGTTATTTTTGGGTACCTCCTCGTATACATATACTAAGTGACATATAAATCCGAACACCCAGTTTAAATGGTTTTATTTTAATAAAAGTTGCTGAATGTATTTATCTTACTGTAAATAACAAGAGAAAAAATTTTCAGCCTTATCGGTTGGACATTCCGGTTTTTATACTGCTTTTTTTTCATTCACTAACGCTCTAAAAATGAATATTTCAGCCGCAGTAAAGAATCAACGTTGGCGGATTTTGGTTCTTGACATCCTTTACGATCGGTTACGATGTCTAGAGTACAGAGACCTGTACGATTTCGTCAACTTAGTGAGTTTGATAGGGGCCGTATAGTGGGACTTCGGGAAGCTGGACTTTCTTTTCGAGCAATTGCAGTTAGAGTGCAAAGAAGTGTAGACACTGTGGTTAGGTATTGTCAGGCATGGCTTCGAGAAGGCCGTACGCAAAGAGCAAGGAGCACTGGACGCCGTCGTAGAACAACAGACCGTGAAGATCGCCGCCTAAGATTATTGGTCTTAAGGGACCGTTTCTCCACTAGCAGGTCCATTGCAAATGAATGGTATACGGAAGACCTATTGGCATGCGAAGTGTTTACCGACGAATGAGAAGTTTTGGCTTGTTTTCATACCGGCCACACTGGGTCCTCCCTTTAACTCGAGAACACCGACGTAATCGCCTTGAGTGGTGCAGACAACGGTCACTCTGGGATCAGGAATGGAACAGTATTGTCTTTAGTGACGAGTCTCGATTTTGTTCAGGCATGCACGATGGTCGTGCCAGGGTTAGAAGGCGACGTGGTGAAAGGAGGAATCCACAGTTTTTTGTAGAAAGACATGTTCGTCACACTGTTGGAGTTATGGTTTGGGTCACCTTTAATCTTAATCAGAGGTAACATGAACGCGCAGCGTTATATCCACGAGGTTCTAGAACCCCTTCTTTTACCCTATCTTGACACCCTGGCAGATCCAACTTTCCAACAAGATAATGCTCGACCACATGTTGCAAGAGTCACAATAGACTTCTTTCAACATAATGATGTCACATTGTTACCATGGCCACCAAGATCTCCCGACTTATCCCCAATTGAGCACGTGTGGGATATGATGGGTAGGAGATTGTTCAATTGGCAACGTCCTCCTTAGACTCTAGAAGCGCTTCGAGAGGAGTTGGTGGTTGCCTGGAATGAGATACCACAGGAGGACATTAACCACCTGATCAAAAGCATGCCTAGACGCGTTGGAGAATGCGTCGCACATCAGGGTGCATCCACACATTATTAAAGGTCAAAGGGCTTTAAAGCAGTGCAATCATTTTGAAATTTTTATCATTTACTTATTATGCTTCATTAAGTACTTATACAAAATTTTATTAAAATAAAAACATTTAAACTGGGTGTTCGGATTTATATGCCACTTATTATATATCAAACCTTACAGAAAATAACTAAACTTATTCACGTTAGGGAACAATTACGTTCAAATAAATGTACATAGGGTAAAGTCGGGTTGTTTGTATAATCTGTTTTTTAAAATAGCTCCTTAATTACTGTTCGTTTTAACGTTTAAAAATAATGTTTGTTCAGAAGCTCAGAAGCTTGGTACAAGGCCAAAATGTAATCGTTGATATTCTTTTTCAGTGTGGGACAAAGAAAATACTCGGAAAACGGAGTTGGCGCTGGAGATATGGAAGCAGAAAAGGGAGAATCATTCATATGCTATAATTGTGGCTATACAGCCTATACCAAACGTACTTTAATCAAACACATCAAAGTCGGCAATTGCAATTTGAAAACAGATACTAAAAAATCTTCAATCACAGCAAATTTACACGTTTGTACACAATGTAGTAAAGAATTCGCTAAAAAAAGGAATTTGGACAGTCATATAGTTAAAAAACATCCAGAGATGATTCCGTCACTTTCTCGCAAAATATACGAATGTAAAGATTGTGATTATAAAGCCGTCTGGAAGTGTAACTTCAGCAGACATATATTGACACATCAAGATGCTTCTAATTACAGACTCAGCTGTCCACACTGCAACGCGACTTTTAGAGAAGGAAAAGCAGTGGATGATCATATAGTAAAAAAACACCCAGAGTTTGTTAAATCTGTTAAACGAAGAATATACGAATGCCCAAATTGTCCATATAAAACTGTCAAAAAGGCTGTACTAGATATGCATTTGACGACGCATCCTGATGCTGTTTCTAGTATAAAGATGAGAACGTGTCCACATTGCAATAAGTCGTTTAAAAAAAATGTATCGCTAGATAATCACATACTTCACAAACATCCAGAATTCATGTCCTCAGTGACAAAAAAAATCCATCAATGCCCATATTGTCCATATAAGAATGTCATGAAATTTCCTCTAGATAAGCATTTGACTACGCATCTTGATGCTGTTTCTAGTATAAAGTTGAGAAGGTGTAAGCATTGCAATAAGACCTTTAAACAGAAGGCAACGCTAGATAATCACATACTTAAAGAACATCCAGAATTCATGGCATCAGTGACAAAAAAAATATATCAATGCCCATATTGTCCATACAGAACTGTTGAAAAGGCTTGGCTAGATAGGCATTTTATAACGCATTCTGATGTTGTTTCTGGTATAAAGTTGATGAAATGTGAACATTGCAATAAATCGTTTAAACAGAAGGTGACGCTAGATAATCACATACTTCACAAACATCCAGAATTCATGTCGTCAGTGACAAAAAAAATACATCAATGTCCATATTGTCCATATAGAACCGTCGAAAAGGGTGGGCTAAATAGGCATTTGATAACGCATTCTGATGCTGTTTCTGGTATAAAGGTGATTAAATGTGAACATTGCAATAAATCGTTTAAAAAGCAGGTAAAGCTAGATAATCACATACTTAAGGAACATCCAGAATTCATGTCGTCAGTGACAAACGAAATACATCAATGTCCATATTGTCCATATAGAACTGTCGAAAAGGCTGGGCTAGATAGGCATTTGATAACGCATTCTGATGGTATAAAGTTAATTAAATGTGAACATTGCAATAAATCGTTTAAACAAAAACAATCGCTATATGATCATATAGTAAGAAAACATCCAGATTTTATCTCGTCGATCACCGTGAAAATACACGAATGCGCACATTGTCCATTTAAAACCATCAGGAAGACTGATCTCAAATTACACGAAACAATTCATCTTGATGCGAATTAATTTCAATGATACCTTTTACGTACGCTAAAAATTACTATAAACACCATCGCGCAATCGTTCCATCATGTAACAACAGAAGGGAAGTTATTCACGAACGAACACTAAAATGTTATTAGGCTAATTAACATTTTAATCAAGTCAGTCAATCCCCGATTTGTATAACAGTTTAACCCTAGATTACGGGACTTGTTTCAAAATACTTTAATACGAGACTATCGTAAAATATACGAAGATAATATAAAACTTGCATTGTACAATAAAATTCTTATGAAAAAACTCATGAAAAATAAAAGATATATTTCTAAGGACTTTACAATAAAATGCAAGAACAAAATATCAATAAAAAGTCAATATATATTATTTGACACTACATTCCTTGCATACATTTCCTCGATGCTCACCACAGATCGGATGTCCACACTGTCCACAATACATCGTTGTCATCCGTCTCTTTTGAGAAGGACAAAAAAAGCACGTTTTACGCTTTTTTTCTAGAGGGATTTCAGGTGTTGTATCTTTTCGAATATTGAGAAGAAGGGCAATATCTTGACTTATATTTCGACGCAACGTAGGAGTCGATAATCTATGCCTCATCCCTGGCTCAGCAAGGCGACGACTTAAATCTATCATGTACTGGTAACGTGAAAGGGGTTTCTTTCCTCTTGATAAAGCATTAAAAGTATAAATCACAAAGGAGTTGATGCTGGCTATATTCACCATACCATATAGCACACACAGGGGCCATCTTCTAGTTTTCCTGCTGCAGCTCATGTTGGAACACATTTGGTCGAATGTGTCGACACCCCCTTTAGTTTCATTGTTGTTCTGAACAATTGCTGGTTTTCCTGTTTGTTTTGAAATTTCAGCACCCTCATGCATTGTAGACAATAGCAGTACTAATTTCTGCTTCCTAGGCACATACGAAAGTAATACTTTTTCTTGATCAAAACAGAACATTGATGTATTTACGTTTCGCTGCCTTATGTCAAGCAGTTCGGGAGGAATTTCCCTTTTATTTTTTCTTAGTGTTCCAATTATTGTCAGTTTGTAAGGATCTTGGAGTAGTTCATCTGCCAAACTGACGGACGTGAACCAATTGTCCATGGTAATATTCCTGTTACTTCCATGGACAGATTTTGTTAGCTCCTTTACAAAGTAGGTAGCAAGCGGCAAACCATTCGTTCTGGTACTTTTTCCTATATATGGACTAGCATCAACCATATAGCATGTTGAGTTGTCACATAGCATGACAATTTTTATACCATACTTTGAAGGTTTATTCGGTATGTACATGCGGAATGGACATCGTCCACGAAATCCCAAAAGCTGTTCGTCTATAGTGAGGTAAGATGGTGTATATGATGATCCGCAAGTTTCAATGAAAATATCCCATAACTCACGGATATGGGTGAAAGGATCATTAATTTTTCTTTCCTGTCTTGTTTCTCTTGAATCAAATCTGAGACAGTTCAGTAAGAACATAAATCTGTCACAGTTCATGCAGGCTCTGTAGAAGGAACCAGAAATCGTCGTATCAAACATATGTCTGGCAGATAGATGGTTGTCTTTCTTGGCAGCCGAGAGTATCAAAATTGCAAACAGCGCCTGTAGTTCTTCTTAGTGGTAGGTGACACATTGTTGTTACCCGTGTAATTTTGCCTTTGTCGTACAATTTCTTCATTAGTGTGTAGTAATATTATATCAAGAATAGGATCAGAGAAGAAATGTAAAAAATATTCTTCCAGTGTCACATACTCCTTCGCTTCACCTTTCGGGCCTGCCACAAAATGGATGAGGTTTCTTGAAGCAGTTCTTTCAGTTCTGCTGGGCTGTGTTGATGTCCATCTCTGACCATTCTTTCCTTTCAAACTCAAAATATTGGGTTTAACTAGAAAGTGATTTGTTTTACAAGGTTCAAGTTGAGGTTGATTTACGGGATCGTCGGAGTTCACATGGCCGTCATCATTCTTTTTCTCTGCCGAAGTAGTCGTTTCTTGTTCATTTATAGGAACATTCTCGTCCAAATAGAATTCATCATTTGAATCATCTGATCCCTTCATCGATTCTACTTCAATATTATCTTGTTCCCAACCACTGCCACTATCCTCAAATGGATCTGGATCACTGTCTCCTCCCTCCATAATTTTTCTCACTTCTTCTTCCAATTCTGCCTGAGATAAGGACCGTTTTGAAGTCATTTCGCTGGAAAGACATGTACTCAGAACGCTATAAGTATGAAAAATAGAAAACACCTTACCTCACAAATAAATGTCAGCAAAACCGCTTTTCAAAGAATAGAATAAAAATCAGCTTGCGCGAAAATAGCAAACAGTGACACGGGACTATCGTAAAATTTACGACGGAAGTGCAAAATCTCCGTTACGCTTGACAAATACACGATGTTACGTACACCGAAGTCTAGCCGAAAACTAAATAGGAAGGTATCGAGAGTCTCATTCCGATACGCTAACCGAAAATGAACGAAAACCCACGACGAATATTGTCGATCGTAAATTTTACGAATGTCCCGTACTCTAGGGTTAATTGAATCTATGAAACTAACATAATTAAATCAAAACGTAACCGTTTAATTAAATTTATTCCACCGCTTACTTGGATTGACTACACCAATTTATTTAAAACTAATGAATCATTAAAATGAGTTTACTGCTACAAGTAGAAGAGTTTAATTTTTTTTAGACTTCGCCGTTTGTTTTTCTCAATAAAGACTAATTATTATTACTATTGTTATTATTTTATCACTTACACTCCATCAGAATGGTGAAGGAATTATGCTATTCTCAGAGGTCTTGCCTAAACCTTGAGGAGGAATTCGTTGTAGTATATTTAGGATAGACTAAGTCTGGACAGGTTGTTTTTCGTTACTATCGGGTTCTCCAATAGGGACTTGACAACTTTGAACTTTCAATGTGAACGCACCTTTAAATCAATTACCGAGCTGTCATTGTCAAAATATTCAGTGAAGAAAACATTTTCATCATGGTGAAGTACGCGAACGAACAGCGCTTGAAAATAATTAAAATTTATTACTGAAATTCCGAATCGGTGACTGCAACTTTAAGAGCGTTAACGCCGATTTTTGGTCGTAATTCTCGTCCCAGTAGACAAGCAATTCATATTCTAGTGAAAAACATTTAGTCCACGTATTTGCTCTTGAATGTACATTTCGACAGGTACGGATTATGTACAACACCCTGTACGTGATATACAGACAAAACTAGATTACTATGCATGGACGGTCGTCAAAAACAGTGAAAACATCCTACCAAATAAAGGGTTGTCCAATAGGGACGCAGGAAAGTAAACGTCAATTTGACATAGACGCCATCTTGTCACCGACATGTCATTTTGTTAGTTGAATGTTTACCATTGCTCGCTAGGGAGTCGTATTCGATTGAAGACCGCATTAAAGTTATTCAAGAGCACTACAAAAATGGTGCAAAAATAAAAAACACGTTTTGCACGCTTCGTGAACATTTCGGTCGCAACAATCGCCCAAACGAAACAACCATCGGTCGTCTGGTGCGTAAATTCGAGGCAACAGGTTCTGTGGCAAATCTGCCAGGCTCTGGCCGGCCAAGGAGCGTTCGCACACCGGAAAATATTGCTGTTGTGAAGGAGAGTGTGAGAGACGATCCGAAACAATCAACAACGCGTCGATCCCAAGAATTGGGCATTTCGAGAACCAGTTTGCTCCGCATTCTCCACAAGGATTTGAATGTCACGCCTACAAGATCCAATTGACGCAAGAGCTGCGTCGGGCCGACCATTTTTCGCGCCGGACGTTCTCAGATTGGCTCCTTGAACACCGCCCAATTGATGGCAATTTTTCATCAAAACTCATGTTCAGCGACGAAGCGCATTTCACTTTGAATGGGACGGTAAACAAGCAAAAGTGCCGCATCTGGGCGAACGAAAATCCCCGTGAGTATCAAGAGCAGCCGATGCATCCTCAAAAAGTGACTGTGTGGTGTGCATTGTGGTCAAAAGGCATCATCGGACCTTACTTTTTCGAAAATGCGGCCGGGGACGCCGTTACCGTCAATTCTGAGCGATATCACGTGATGATAGAGGACTATTTTTTGCCGCAACTTGAAGGAATGGATATGGACGATGTTTATTTCCAACAAGACGGTGCAACATGCCACACAACCAACGTCAATATCCATCGATTGCAGTCCTTCTGTGCCATGGCCACCAAGATCGTGCGATTTGACTCCCTTGGACTTCTTTTTATGGGGATATTTGAAAAGCAAAGTCTACGTCAACAAACCAGCCACCCTCCAAGAAGTCAAAAACAACATCATTGCCGAGATAAATGCCATAGAACCGACCATGTTGCAAAATGTCATTGAAAATTTCGACCATCGCGTGGACGTCTGTAAATCCAATCGTGGTGAACATTTGAGCGATATTACACACCTCTCCTAGCGCGTGTATAGCTTTCTGATGCCAACTGTTGATATAATATGTGACAAACACGTTCTTTTGACATTTTCATGACCTCTTCTATCGTTTGGTAAACTTTTTTGACTATGTTTTCGTAGGTACCTACAGTATTTGGACGTCCCGAACGTTCACCTTCTCCCAAGCTCTTACGGCCACGTTAAAATGCAGCTGCCCAAAATTTCACTGTAGTAAACGATGGTGCAGAGTCCCCATACACGAAATGTGTACTACACAAGCTCCGCCCACTGCAATGCTATTCCGGTTATTTTTGGGTACCTCCTCGTATACATATACTAAGTGACATATAAATCCGAACACCCAGTTTAAATGGTTTTATTTTAATAAAAGTTGGTGAATGTATTTATCTTACTGTAAATAACAAGTGAAAAAATTTTCAGCCTTATCGGTTTTTATACTGCTTTTTTTAATTCACTAACGCTCTAAAAATGAATATTTCAGCCGCAGTAAAGAATCAACGTTGGCGGATTTTGGTTCTTGACATCCTTTACGGTCGGTTACGATGCCTAGAGTACGGAGACCTGTACGATTTCATCAACTTAGTGAGTTTGATAGGGCCGTATAGTGGGACTTCGGGAAGCTGGACTTTCTTTTCGGGCAATTGCAGTTAGAGTGCAAAGAAGTGTAGACACTGTGGTTAGGTGTTGTCAGGCATGGCTTCGAGAAGGCCGTACGCAAAGAGCAAGGGGCACTGGACGCCGCCGTAGAATAACAGACCGTGAAGATCGCCGCCTAAGATTATTGGCCTTAAGGGACCGGTTCTCCACTACCAGGTCCATTGCAAATGAATGGTTTGCAGAACACGGAAGACCTATTGGCATGCGAAGTATTTAGCGACGAATGAGAAGTTTTGGCTTGTTTTCATACCGGCCACACTGGGTCCGCCCTTTAACTCGAGAACACCGACGTAATCGCCTTGAGTGGTGCAGACAACGGTCACTCTGGGATCAGGAATGGAACAGTATTGTCTTTAGTGACGAGTCTCGATTTTGTTTAGGCATGCACGATGGTCGTGCCAGGGTTAGAAGGCGACGTGGTGAAAGGAGGAATCCACAGTTTTTTGTTGAAAGACATGTTCATCACACTGTTGGAGTTATGGTTTGGGGTGCTATAGCTTATGGTTCCAGGTCACCTTTAATCTTCATCAGAGGTAACATGAACGCGCAGCGTTATATCAACGAAGTTCTAGAACCCATCTTTTACCCTGTCTTGACACCCAACTTTCCAACAAGATAATGCCCGACCACATGTTGCGAGAGTCACAATAGACTTCTTTCAACATAATGATGTCACATTGTTACCATGGCCACCAAGGTCTCCCGACTTATCCCCAATTGAGCACGTGTGGGATATGATGGGTAGGAGATTGTTCAATTTGCAACGTCCTCCTCAGACTCTAGAAGCACTTCGAGAGGAGTTGGTGGTTGCCTGGAATGAGATACCACAGGAGGACATTGACCACCTGATCAGAAGCATGCCTAGGCGCGTTGGAGAATGCGTAGCACATCAGGGTGCATCCACACATTATTAAAGGTCAAAGGGCTTTAAAGCAGTGCAATCATTTTGAAATTTTTATCATTTACTTATTATGCTTCATTAAGTACTTATACAAAATTTTATTAAAATAAAAACATTTAAACTGGGTGTTCGGATTTATATGTCACTTAGTATATATCAAACCTTACAGAAAATAACTAAACTTATTCACGTTAGGAAACAACTACGTTCAAACAAATGTACATAGGGTAAAGTCGGGTTGTTTGTATAATCTGTTTTTTAAAATAGCTCCTTAATTACTGTTCGTTTTAACGTTTAAAAATAATGTTTGTTCAGAAGCTCAGAAGCTTGGTACAAGGCCAAAATGTAATTGTTGATATTCTTTTTCAGTGTGGGACAAAGAGAATACTGGGAAAACGGAGTTGGCGCTGGAGATATGGAAGCAGAAAAGGGAGAATCATTCATATGCTATAATTGTGGCTATACAGCCCATATCAAACGTACTTTAATCAAACACATCAAAGTCGGTAATTGCGATTTGAAAACAGATACTAAAAAATCTTCAATCACAGCAAATTTACACGTTTGTACACAATGTAGTAAAGACTTCGTTAAAAAAAGGAATTTGGACAGTCATATAGTTAAAAAACATCCAGAGATGATTCCGTCACTTTCTCGCAAAATATACGAATGTAAAGATTGTGATTATAAAGCCGTCTGGAAGTGTAACTTCAGCAGACATATATTGACACATCAAGATGCTTCTAATTACAGACTCAGCTGTCCACACTGCAACGCGACTTTTAGAGAAAGAAAAGCAGTGGATGATCATATAGTAAAAAAACACCCAGAGTTTGTTAAATCTGTTAAACGAAGAATATACGAATGCCCAAATTGTCCATATAAAACTGTCAAAAAGGCTGTACTAGATAAGCATTTGACGACGCATCCTGATGCTGTTTCTAGTATAAAGATGAGAACGTGTCCACATTGCAATAAGTCGTTTAAAAAAAATGTATCGCTAGATAATCACATACTTAGAGAACATCCAGAATTCATGGCATCAGTTACAAAAGAAATCCATCAATGCCCATATTGTCCATATAAGAATGTCATGAAATTTCCTCTAGATATGCATTTGACTACGCATCCTGATGCTGTTTCTAGTATACAGTTGAGAAGGTGTAAGCATTGCAATAAGACCTTTAAACAAAAGGCAACGCTAGATAATCACATACTTAAAGAACATCCGGAATTCATGGCATCAGTGACAAAAAAAATATATCAATGCCCATATTGTCCATACAGAACTGTCGAAAAGACTGGGCTAGATAGGCATTTTATAACGCATTCTGATGTTGTTTCTGGTATAAAGTTGATGAAATGTGAACATTGCAATAAATCGTTTAAACAGAAGGTGACGCTAGATAATCACATACTTCACAAGCATCCAGAATTCATGTCGTCAGTGACAAAAAAAATACATCAATGTCCATATTGTCCATATAGAACCGTCGAAAAGGGTGGGCTAAATAGGCATTTGATAACGCATTCTGATGCTGTTTCTGGTATAAAGTTGATTAAATGTGAACATTGCAATAGATCGTTTAAAAAGCAGGTAACGCTAGATAATCACATACTTAAGGAACATCCAGAATTCATGTCGTCAGTGACAAACGAAATACATCAATGTCCATATTGTCCATATAGAACTGTCGAAAAGGCTGGGCTAGATAGGCATTTGATAACGCATTCTGATGGTATAAAGTTAATTAAATGTGAACATTGCAATAAATCGTTGAATCAAAAACAATCGCTATATGATCATATAGTAAGAAAACATCCGGATTTTATCTCGTCGATCACCGTGAAAATACACGAATGCGCACATTGTCCATTTAAAACCATCAGGAAGACTGATCTCAAATTACACGAAACAATTCATCTTGATGCGAATTAATTTCAATGATACCTTTTACGTACGCTAAAAATTACTATAAACAACATCGCGCAATCGTTCCATCATGTAACAACAGAAGGGAAATTATTCACGAACGAACACTAAAATGTTATTAGGCTAATTAACATATTAATCAAGTCAGTGAATCCCCGATTTGTATAACAGTTTAACCCTAGATTACGGGACTTGTTTCAAAATACTTTAATACGAGACTATCGTAAAATATACGAAGATAATATAAAACTTGCATTGTACAATAAAATTCTTATGAAAAAACTCATGAAAAATAAAAGATATATTTCTAAGGACTTTACAATAAAATGCAAGAACAAAATATCAATAAAAAGTCAATATATATTATTTGACACTACATTCCTTGCATACATTTCCTCGATGCTCACCACAGATCGGATGTCCACACTGTCCACAATACATCGTTGCCATCCGTCTCTTTTGAGAAGGACAAAAAAAGCACGTTTTACGCTTTTTTTCTAGAGGGATTTCAGGTGTTGTATCTTTTCGAATATTGAGAAGAAGGGCAATATCTTGACTTATATTTCGACGCAACGTAGGAGTCGATAATCTATGCCTCATCCCTGGCTCAGCAAGGCGACGACTTAAATCCATCATGTACTGGTAACGTGAAAGGGGTTTCTCTCCTCTTGATAAAGCATTAAAAGTATAAATCACAAAGGAGTTGATGCTGGCTATATTCACCATACCATATAGCACACACAGGGGCCATCTCTTCTAGTTTTCCTGCTGCAGCTCATGTTGGAACACATTTGGTCGAATGTGTCGACACCCCCTTTAGTTTCATTGTAGTTCTGAACAATTGCTGGTTTTCCTGTTTGTTTTGAAATTTCAGCACCCTCATGCATTGTAGACAATAGCAGTACTAATTTCTGCTTCCTAGGCACATACGAAAGTAATACTTTTTCTTGATCAAAACAGAACATTGATGTATTTACGTTTCGCTGCCTTATGTCAAGCAGTTCGGGAGGAATTTCCCTTTTATTTTTTCTTAGTGTTCCAATTATTGTCAGTTTGTAAGGATCTTGGAGTAGTTCATCTGCCAAACTGACGGACGTGAACCAATTGTCCATGGTAATATTCCTGTTACTGCCATGGACAGATTTTGTAAGCTCCTTTACAAAGTAGGTAGCAAGCGGCAAACCATTCGTTCTGGTACTTTTTCCTATATATGGACTAGCATCAACCATATAGCATGTTGAGTTGTCACATA